AGGGTTGCGATCCGTTGCCGGTCACGAAAAAAGACAAAAAAAGGAAAAAAAAAAAAAGAAACTAATTTTTAAAGTATAGAACACATTTAAAGTATAAAAATATGAAATTCATAGGCTTTCGTGTAGACACAAGTTTCCATTTCCCTGGGATGTATGCCCAGGAGTGTGTGATTGCTGGATTGTATGGTAAGTATATGTTTAGTGTGTAGGCAGAATTCCAGAATTCCCAGCCCCTAGTGGACACCCTCCTTCTCACAGTTACTCAAACACAAGTGCTGCCAGGAAGGGATTTTCCAGAGTTCATTAAGGTCCCAAATCAATGGATCTTAAGCTAGGAAGGTGGGCCTGACTGAATCAGATGAGCCCTGTGAAAGCAGTTTTCTCTGTTGGTCTAGACCAGAGACAGGGGAAGTCAGAGGTCCAAAGCATAGGGAAGATTCAGTGTGTCCTTGCTGGCTGGAAGATGAGTGGGGACACGTGTCAGGGAAGACCGGCGGCCGGGAGGAGCTGAGAGCAGCCTTGGCTGACCCTCAGCAGGGAAACAGGGACCTCAGTCTTAAAACTGCAAAGCACTGAATTCTGCCAGCAATGAGATGGACCCTGGAAGTGGATTTGTCCCCAGAGCATTCAGAGCAGAACTCAGTGGCCTTGCTTGATTTCAGCCACATGATGCCCTGAACTATGCCAGTCACGGTGCGCTGAACTTTTGATGTTTGGCCCACCAAACTGTAAGCTACTATATTGTTTTAAGCTGTGTGTGGTAAGTTGTTCTACAGCAAAAGAAAACTAATACCTTTAGTTCTTGTTTCTTTTTATTGGTGGCTAGCCGGTACAGGGATCCAAACCCTTGACCTTGGTATTATAACACCACACTCTAACCAACTGAGCTAACTGGCCAGACAATACCTTTAGTTTTTAGAGAAACCATCAAGCGATTTTCCAGAGTGGCTATAACATTTTACATTTCCACTAGCAATGTATGAGAGATCCAGTTTCTTTGCATCTTTGCCAGCTTCTGGTATTGCCAGTATTTTTAATTTTAGCTATTCTAATAGGTGTGTAGTGATATCTCATTGTAGTCTTAATGATCTAACAGTTGGTGATGAACATTTTTTCATGTGTTTATTTGCCATCCGTATATCCTCTTTGGCAAAATGTCTTTCATGTCCTTTACTCAGTTTCTAATTGGATTATTTGGTGGCTTTTACTGTTGAATTTTGGGTTTTTAAAAATATATTCTAGATGTGAGTCCTTTGTCAGATACGTAGTTTGCAGTTTTTTTCTCCCAGTCTGTAGCTTGTCTTTTCAGACTCTTAAAAAGTTCTTTTCCAAAGACAAAGTTTAAAATTCTGATGCAGTTTTATTTATTGATTTTTCTTCTTTTATAGATGATGTCTTCGGTGTCAAGTTTAAAAGATTTTTACAAAGCCTGGGGTCCTGAGTATTTTCTCCTATGTTTCTTAAAAGTGTTATAATTTTATGGTTTACATTTAAATCTATGATCCACTTAGAGTCAGTTGACTTTGGCATAGTGTGTGAAGTTTATGTTGATGGGTTTTTTTGCCCATGGATATCCAATTGCTGTAGCACAATTTGTTGAAAATACTATCCTTCCACTGTGTGTGTGTGTGGGGGGGGTATATTCCTTGGTATTTTCTACATAGACTGTCAAGTGATCTGCAAATAGGGATGATTATATTTCTTTCTAATCTGTATGCCTTTATTTCCTTGTTGTGCTGACTAGGACTTACAGTACTATATTATACATTGCTTTTGTACCTTTGTCAAAAATCAGTTGATCATAATTGTGCGTATCTATTTCTGGGCTCTCTACTTTGCTCCACTGATCTGTACATGTGTCCCCTCACCAGAACCGCATGGTCTTGATCACAGTAGCTAACCCAGTGATGCCTCCACTTTATGCTTTTTGAAAATTGTTTTAGTTATTCTAGTTCTTTTGTCTTTTCATATGAATTTTACAATAATCTGTCTATATCCACAAAAACCTTGCTGGAATCTTGATAGGAATTGTGCTAAACCTATGTTTCATTTTGTGAAGAACTGACATCATTGCTACGTTGAGTCTTCCCATCCGTGAATGTGGCATGTCTCCACTTATTTAGGTCTTGACTTTCTTTCATCAGCATGTTGTAGTTTTTAGCATACAAATCCTGTACCTGCTTTGGTAGATTTATGTCTAAGTAGTTTTTTTTTTTTTTTTTTTGAGTGATTGTAAATGGTATTGTATTTTAAATTTCAGTTTCCAAACATGCATTGCTAGTATATGGAAATATAATTGATTTTTGTATGTTGACCGTATATTGGGCAGCCTTGCTAAACTCACTTATTGGTTCAAAGAGTTTTTGTTTGTTTTGGTTTTGGTAAATTCCATGGGATTTTCTAACTAGACCATCATTTCATCTGCAAATAAGGATAATTAAATTTCATCCTTTCTGATCTGTATGCTCTTGTTTCCTTGTTGTGCTGGCTAGGACTTGCAGTACTATTTTATGTAAGAGTGGCGACAGCCGACATTCTTGCCTTCTTTCTGATCTTTGGCAGAAAGCATCCAGTCTTTCCCCATTACATATGACGTTAGGTGTAGGGTTTTGTAGATGTCTTTTGTCAGTCTGAGGATGTCTTAGTCCATTTCTGTTGCTTATAACAAAATAAGCTGGGTAATTTATAAGAAAACAAAATTTATTGCTTACAGTTTCAGAGACTGGGAAGCCCAAAGTCCAGGGAACACATCTGGTGAGGGTCTTCTTTGGTGGTGGCTTTACAGCAATGCAGGGGTCTCTCGTGGCAGAAAACGGATGGCGGAGCAGAGAGACAGAGACTCTCATCATGCTCTCCTTTTAAAACCCCCAAACCCATGCCCTGCCCACCATTATTAATCCATCCACTACTGCACAGTCCTACAATCCAATCACTTCTTCAAGGTCTCACCTTTCAGTTACCATAATAGGATTTCCCACCCTCAAAAGTCACAGTGGCCATTAAGCTTGTAATATGTGAACTCTGGGGACATGATCAGTCAGCCCACAGCAGAGGCAGTTCCACGCTTCCTTCTTCGCTGAAGGTTTCCTGACTTGCTGGTTCACAAAATTCATGAAAAAACAATTCCAGGTAGACTAAAATCCTATTTCTTAACTTTTAACTTTGGAATAATTTTACATTCACAATAAGTTGCAAAAAATAGTACAGAGAGGTTCCATGTTCCCATTACCCAGCTCCCAGTGGTGGCATCAGTGGTGACACACATAGTTACAGTGCTTCATTGACTGACACAGTACAACTAACTACAGTGATCTGATCTTACTCAGATTTCGACAGAAATATCTTTTTTAAAAGCAAAATTATATGATGCTTTTTTAGATAATATTATTGGAGAACATATTTTAATGACCTCAGACTAGAGGGAGAATTCTTGAACAAGACAAATACAAAGCATAAAGAAAAGAATGATACCTTTGGCTATGTTAAACTTAATAACTTCTGTTCATCAAAAGACACCATAAAGGGGCCTGCCCGGTGGCGCACTGCTACAGTGCGCCGCTTGGTAGCGCGGTGGCGCTCCCGCCGAGGGTTCGGATCCCACATACAGACCGGTTCCCGCTCACTGGCTGAGCGAGGTGTGGGAGCAACACCGAGGTGTGGGAGCAACACAGAGGGTTGCGATCCCGTTGCCGATCCCGGTCCGGTACGGTACCGGCGCGACACTGAGGGTTGCGATCCGTTGCCGGACACGAAAAAAAAAAAAAAAAAAAAAAAAAAAAAGACACCATAAAATTGTGAAAAGACAAGGCACAAACAGAAAAAAATGATTTGCAATGTGTGAAAATGACAAAAAGCATCCTGAATATATGAAAAGTCTTGTGAATCAATAAGAAAACAATAAAAACACCCGCATGGAAATGTGTACGAAACTCGGGAGCAGATGCTTCACAAGAGGACCTGCGGGTGACCAGACACACAGATCCCTGCACGGGGGTAACAAGGGTTCGGGTGGACGTCGCCAGGCTCGAGGAGGCGCAGGGACGACCCGGCAAAACAGGCCACAGGCACAGCGGCCGTGTTTAGGAACCCTGCCCAGCCGGGTGTTGCCAGGGCAGGGGATGGTGGAGGGTGGCCAGGGGTTGGGGCGGGAAGGAGACAGGGGTTGGGTGAGGGCGGGAAGGGGTGCGGTGAGACACGAACCAGCCCAGGCCGGTTTCACTGTTTTCACTGCCAAATCCCTTTCAAGTCCCCAGGTTTTGAAAGATTTCGACTACCAGACGGCATTTATTATCCTTGCATTCCTTTTGTTTGTTTTTAAATAAACAAAAAGTCAATGAAGAAAAAAAACGAAAGCTCTGTGGCACAGAGCACAACCGCCAGGTGTCCAAAGACCCTGCAGAGCCACAGGCACGCCGAGGCTCGCGCGCCGCCGCCGTCCCGCGCCCCCGACCCCTCCGGCGGCCCCCGGGGCTGTGCGTGCGCAGCGCGGAGCGGGTGGCCGCGGCGTCCCAGCGCTGGGCGGCCGGGCTCGCTGTTCCCGCGCTGTCCCAGGAGCGTGTCCGAAACAGAGCGCGGACGGGAGGACCGACTGTTTATGAAGTGCGCTCAAACGTGCGCCTCTGCCCAGTCTGCTGTCCTCGCGGAACCTTCTAGAACAGCCCGAGCGGGGGCGGCTGTGTAACCGGGGAGGCCTCCAGGGCCACGGGGCCTCCGCTGCTCATTCCTTTAGGGAAAAGCCACTGACCAGTGCTGGCTCTCGAAGGGTGGCCGAGGTGCAGCGCCAGTCCCCCTCTCAGGAGGCCACAGTCGGAAGCAGAGAGGGACACAAAGTCAACTGCAGCCGGGTGCCTTGGGACCCACGGCCAGGCTGTGCTCAGCCTAGCGCCCGGGACAGGGAGAGTGGTGGCTCTCTCTGGAGGGCAGGAGAGGCTAACCTTGGACAGCTCGCAGACGTTCATCAGGAGGACAGTTTACTGCCATCTGGTATGGTATGGGGCACGAGGTGCAAACCGTATCTTGGTATTTTTAGAGACAGCAACAGGTCTGGCCTGCAGGGGCCCCAGCCAGTGCTTGTTGAATGTACTAATGAAAGAGAAGGAGCAGGCAGGAGAGAGAGAAATGCACCTGGGACCAGCCAATCAGCCTCTCAGAGTTTTCATTTCCTGCTGTAGAATAGGGGTGGTGATACCTGTCTTGCAAGGCAGGTGAGGCTGAGTGAGGTATCCGCTCTTTGTTCCAGGATCTACGACATCTGCCAAAACAGCACTGACCTCAGGGAGGTGACAGTGAGAGCTGCTGCCTTCCTCTGCCGTGATCAAAGACTTGAGAGAACTCACAGACGAAACACTGTTGGCCTTAATATCTCTGCCCACCCCCGGTCTTGAAGACTTCCAAAATCGGAAATCCACTTTCACCTTGGAGATCCATGCCCACCAGGAGAAGTACCTGCAGTGGCAGAGCACCATGGTGCTGAAGAATAAAGACCAGAAGGACAGCCTAATCCAGGTGGGCATTCTTCCCTCCCTAGGCATCACGCTCCCAGGCCGGGTTCACCCACCTGGGCTCTCCCGTCACCTGCTGAGATACAGGGCATATTCCTGAGTGGGACACCTGCCTCTGTCCTGTATCTGCCCTCCTGGCCTGGGATACTGGGCTGGATGGGCAAGAAGTGCAGGGCACAGGGCTGAGCCACACAAGAAGCTTTCACTCCCAGCCCTGACTTACCTCGTCCTTCCTGAAAAGTAAGAAGGAATGCCCTTAGGTATACGAGGGTAGTTCAGAAAGTTTGTGGAGGTTGGGATCCCCATGCTGGCCAGCTGCCAAAAAAATAAAAATAAAAATAGTTCGTGGAAAAATAGAATTAAAAGACAATACAAATCTTTCCATGAACTTTTTGAAGTACCCACATGGTCATCTTGGCCTCCAGAGTTCATCTTAGAGGAAGCACTGTCGTGTGTATGTGCGTGTGTAACATCTTGCTTAAGCTGCTGAGGGCAGGGGTGTCGTAAGTTATCTGAGCAACACAGGAAATGAACTAATGTGAGCAGAGAGGGACAGAGCAGGAGACTGAGAGGCAGGGACGGAGACGGAGGCTGGTGCTGCGTGGTGTGAATGGCCAAGGAGAACCTCCCTCACCCCTATGCCAACCAAAAAGACCTAAAACCACAAACATCTAAGGGGTGACTTGAAGCATGGCCCTACAGTCTAATCACCTCTTCAAGGCCCCACCTTTCAATTACCATGATAGGATTTCCCACACTTAAGAGTTACAGTGGGGATTTAAGCTTAGAATATATGAACCTTGGGAGACACAATTCAATCAATCCACAGCACTTGCACTGTAGTGGTCTGCAACAGTTTGGAAATTTTTTAAAGTGGTCCTTCTCCACAAATACATCAAGCAGCACTGAATTAGATGTCTTTTAATTAAACAGCAATTGAGGTGATCCCTAAAGCAAAATAGTGTGAATAGAAACTATTTCTCCCTCATTAATGACACTCAAAACAATTTCCCCTACATATACCACTTCTAATACGGATATCAACACAATCGTCTTCGTCCCCAGCTCAGCACGTTCGTCCCTGATTTTGTTCAGCTTTCCTTGTCAATGACAAGTGATGATGATTGTCCCATGAAACAAGCAGCCCTGGACTGACATTTAGAAGCCCTGGGTCTGGTGCTTCATCTCCCCTCACTAATTGTGTGGCCTTCGCCACCCCAAGCATCCACTTTCTCACTCATAACATGCAGGTGATATTTACTTGAGGTCCTCGTGAGACTCGTGGAAGCTAGCGGGTGTGAACGCTGCTCACTGAGATGTGCAATTCCACATCAGTTACCATATGAGCTTGAGCACGCTGCCGCTGATAAGAGTCCCGTGGTTACCAGGTTTGACCACTTGAGTCTCTGTCCCTCCTGCACACACATCTGCCCCTACTGTTGAGTGTGCAATGGAGCGGGGCTACTGGTGTCCCTCCTGTCACTGACATCTACTTCCTGTGCTGAGCGAGCAAGGGAGCAGGGTCACTGGCTGAGGCCCTGCTGTGGAGCCACGTCAGCCTGAATCCAGCCTCACCTCAGCCACTCTTCACATGTGTGACTTGGGCTCCTCACACAGCCTTTCTTAGTGTCAGCTTCTCTTCTCTTATGGACGACCCTTTTTGTTTCAGAAGGTAGTTGTGGGGCTCAAAAAAGGTCATGTGTCCTAAAGCATGAAGCAACTAGTTATTTGTAGCAGATTTGGGCTCTGCTCTTGTCCCTACCTCATGGCCTAGAAAATGACTTAGTTTCTGGTCTCTAGTTCAAACCAGTGAATGGCCAATGTTTCCTAAGCCCCTCTGGCCTTCTGGGCTCCACCCACCCCTTCAGCTGCCAGCCTGACATAGGATGTGGATGTGGACCCGCAGTTGCAGTGATGTCCTGGGTCACAAGCTGTCAGCCCCAGGAGCCTGCCTCTCCTAATGGCACCTCTCATCAAGTGTCTCCAGAGAATTCTGCAGAGGGCCTCAATCTCCCCCATTCCTGGTCCATTGAGGCAGCCACCCGATTCGTCTACACTAGTCATATGCTCCCAACTGCCTTCTCCCCTCTGGCCCCATGACCACAGGCTCATAGGTGACTCCCTATGCTAAAGTGACAGGTGACCTAAAGGAGGTCCCTATGCTAAGTTACAAGTGACTCCTCAGGGTGGTCTACAAAGAAAACGGTCCCGTGACTCTCTTCACTCTGCAGCCTCTTACCACAAAGCCCAGTCTCCTGCACTGAATACACACAGGTGCTACTGAGCCCACTGTACTTGCCTTCTCAGTCCCAGTGGTTCACCTGGGCCTTGCACAGTGGGCTGTGTTAGAGGAAGATCATTCTGGTACCAGTGGGCAGGCCACACGAGGAAAGAAGGACAGCCTGGAGACTAGGTGGCCTTCAGCCACAACCCAAGGATAACTGCTATAGGGAGAGACATTCCGGGGCATGGAGGAAAGAACTCTCTGAAAGCAATGGTCAAGAAAAGAATGCGGTGCCTCATGGTGGGGAGTTCAATTGCAATGAGCAGTTTTCAAATTCAAAAAGCAGCAGAACCTGTTATTCAAACAGATGTAGTGCAGAAACCAAACATGTAAAACAGATAAAAGCCAAGCAGTTCTGATTGAGGCTGCTGATGAGAAAGGTCGCCCAAATCCCACCCACTCAGCTTCCCGCTTGTCCCCACCATAGCCCCAGGGGCACTTCCATGAATAGCTGGGGTCCAGCTGAGGGCAGTGTCACAACCACTGGCCTAGAGGACCTGGAAGGTCTCTTCCCATTCTGAGACTGTAAGCATCACTATCATGTTCCTGCTCAAGCCCCAGTAATGTGGTGAAAGATGACCTTGGCCTGATCCAGGGTGGTAGGGGTGCAGGTGCCTAAAAGTGGTCAGATTCTGAAGATAACCCTGAGGTAGAGAAAACAGGAATGCTGTCGGATTACATGTGGACCAGGAGAATAAGAGGAGTCAAAGGCAACTCCAGGTCTTTGGTGGAACTACGGAGTTGCCGTAAGTGAAGGCTGGTAACAAAGGCTGGTGGGGGAGCAGGATTGAGTGGGGACTAGGAACTCAGTTGTAGATATGCTAATTTGAGATGCCTCTTAGACATCCAAGTGGAGCTTGTGAGTAGAAAGGTAGATATACAGAGCGTGGAGTTGAGGGGAGACGTTCAAGCTGGACAAGTAATTTGAGTCATCAGGACATGGATGGTATTAAGAGCAGGACATGAGTGAGATCATCAAAAGGATGACTGCAGGTGAAAAGTGGGAAACACTGGCCAGTGTTTAGAGGTCAAGGAGCCAACAGAGGAGACAGCCAGCGAAGTACACAGGAATTCAGGAGAGAAAGGTGTTCAGAGCCAGGTGAAGAAGGTGTTAAAGAGGGTGGAGTGACGGACTGTGACGGATGCCACTGATGGGTCAAGTCGGATGAAGACTGAGAGCAGACCACGAGATCTCACAACAGGAGGTCACCCCTCATTTCCACAACTGTCAGCAACAGGCCTGAGTGGTGTGGGCTCTAGATCCAGTAGTGAGGGAACAGCGGAGACGCGGAGGAGAAAGGACAGAGCTGCCCTTGAGCAGGCCTGGAGTGGACAGGCCTGATGTTGTCACAGCTGTCACGATTGTTACGTTGCTATAAGCACAGAGGAAACCCTTGGAGGGTTTCAGGCAGGGGCGTGGCATGATCTGACTTACGTTTTCAAAGGCCACTCTAGCTGTTGGGTGAAGAAAGGGTTTTAGTGGGGAAAGAGTAGAAGGTGATGAGGGCCTGGGCCAGGGTGGGGCAGTCACGAGGAGGTGAGAGTGCTATGGGCCCCCAGGGGCGTGGCATGATCTGACTTACGTTTTCAAAGGCCACTCTAGCTGTTGGGTGAAGAAAGGGTTTTAGTGGGGAAAGAGTAGGTGATGAGGGCCTGGGCCAGGGTGGGGCAGTCACGAGGAGGTGAGAGTGCTATGGGCCCCATGCTAACAGGGGACCCTAGTTCTAGGAGCCCGGCCCGACTTTGTCCCTAGGACCAGGCCCCTATCATCATTCCCCCCAGACCTGGACCCTGCCTTATTCTCTTCTCCTACCTTGGAGCCCCAGCCCTAGGGCCACTAGGCCTAGTTTACACTTACAGACTGCCCGTCACCTGCTCCACCTGCCTGTTAGACCACTACCTCTGGGAGCTTCTCCCTGAAGCCAGCTACCTGCCTGTCACCACAGCCTCTTCTAAGGAGGGGTCCCAACCCATCCTATTGATCTTTTCACGTGTTTACTGAGTACCTGCCGTATGCCCAGGCAGTGTGACAAGCAATAAACTAGACAAAGAATGCCCAGTCCAAGTCAAGGTCTATAGATGGGAAGAGCTTTTAAGTGAGTGAGCTGTTGGATACAGGTAAAGTTAACTCACAATTGCCTATGCAGAAAGAGAATGTGTAGCTCATGTAACTGAAAAGTGAAAGAGTAGGTATTCAGGTGTGGCTTGATCCAGGTGTCACCAGCTTGATGTCTCTTCTGCCCTCTCAATCTCCCTTTCTTAATGCCTTTTATCTGATTTTCTCAGTGTTGGCTTAACACCCAGGCAAGCACTCCCCATGTGGTGGCAAACGTGGCCTCCAGAAGCTCCAGGCCTGTATGCTACCAGCAGTTACTTCAGCAGAAACAAAGTGCCTTGTTCCCAATAGTCACCAGCAAAAGTGCCAGGGCTGAATCTCATTGGCCGGAATTGGGTCACATTTGCCCATCCTTGAACCAACCACTGTGCCTCAGATTGTCTAGATATGAGTTTAGGGGCAGGGATGGATGACCCAAATGAACACTGCAGTGCTGTATACAGAAAACAAGGAATGGATGCCTGTAAGTGTGCAGATTGCAGAAATGGTTACAAATTTTTCCCCTTCTGTATGCACACCTCTGCATGATGTGACTCTGTCCGTCAACAGGTGGGCCTATTTCTCCACTCATTGAAGCTGGGCTTGATCATGGACTTGCTTTGAC